GGCTTAGGAACTATACTTACTGCTACGCGATACTGTTCAGTGAATTTTTTTTTTTCTTTTTTTTTCATGCTCGTGCCAACGGATCAACGAGACCTCTGGCGTCTGCCAGGAGTCTTCGATCCATCCACGACGTGGACCGGTGCAATCGAACTCCTCGGTATCTCTGTTCGAATTTTAGGGTCTCAGGTGGCTTCGAGGGCTTCCTGACACGGCGACTTGGCTCTTAGAAGAGTTCTCCGACACTTGTTCCGGCTCTTAGAAGAGTTCCGTGACACTTGTTCTGGCTCTTAGTGGAGTTTTCTAACGTCGCGTCTTGGCTCTCGGAAGAGACTCTCCTGGGGTCCAAAGTGCAAAGTATCAGGAGTGGATTGGAGGATGGGAGAAGGACTTAATTCGGAAATTCGCTGGAACGGAATAGGTAGCAGGTGTGTGGAAAGTGTCGTACAGTGTTGGTGGTTTGTTCGAATGCAGCTCGACGGGGATGGAGGCAAGACGAATAACGATTCGAGGCAAAGTCGATTGCACCGGTCTTTCTAGTATACCTAAACGATGTCCTTAAACGACGCGAGATCACTACGATGAATCATTTTCTTCCTTCCTCTCGTGTGTCGATCGCGAGCAAATCGCTGTATCCTGGATTCCTTCTACCCTTCGTGTGTTTCTGTGATCGTGCAGGTCTCTCGATTAGAATGATCTTCCCTCTCTCTATCGTTTTCGTGACTGGATGTTTCCCATTCTTCATTTGCCTTCTCGCAGGAGAGATTCTGGTCGGTGGTTAAATGTTTGGAACGAAGTTTTCAAGAGTGCGTCTAGCTCAGTATCGCTCCCATTCGACGCGGTGCATGGTTGCTTTTTTTCACTGAGCACTCAGTTCAGACCTGTCGTAAGGATGACAAAGAAAGAGCAACGTGATTTAAACGTGGTTGAAATTAGTATTTATATGGTGTTAGAAGTTCGTGTGATTATTTGGAGATTATTTTAAGGCGATTTTTCATAGATTGATCATTTTTATCCGATTTATTAGGTCAGTGTGTAAGTAATTGGCACTCAGTACTTTATTGTGAATTGTTAGCCCTTTGCACTCGAGAGGCGACTCTCAGTCACTATTCAATCAGGTTCTAAAAATCGATGTTAATTAACATGTCAAATTTAAAATTACCCAACAATGCGTGAGACGTCGAAGAAAAATAATTCGACGTCTTAGTTTGCATACGATTTCTTATTTATCGTTTTAAAAATATCATCGATCTTATGGCAGAAATTCTTCGAATCACTATTTTTCTATAACGAAAAACTCGTCGAGTGCAAAGGGTTAATATCTCTAGCGATAATTTATCTATCAATTGATAATTACAGAATTGCTATAGAATTAAGATGATCAGTCCATGGATTGACTCAATTGCCATAGAACTGTGCTGATGGCTTACTCCGAAAGCTCATTAAAATAGAGATTTTATTGTTTGTATAATATAAATATGATAATGACTGTTTATAAAATAAAAGAAGATATATTATTATTTCTAGTCTTGATAAAAATATCAAGTTACTTATGAATTGATCTAATAAATATAAAGGAAATTGTTCTACTCTCGGTTCTGATTACTTGCAGGAAGTTAGCTATGAATTTGGAGCTTAATTATTCTCATATGTAATCAATATTGACGAATTAACTGGGATTACTTACTTTAATGCTTTATAACGTTCTTTGTCTGAATTGTTGTCTGGTGGTTCGCACTCGAAAGACGCCAGAGCTAAAGCTGTATTGAGAAAATAGAGAAAGTATAGTAATCACTTCTAAAAATGCTCCCAATGAATAAAAATTTAATCAAGAAATCTATAACAAATTGGAAAAGATATATAATGGATGTTTGAACAATTTGTTTCAACATATGGACTGAAGAAATTTTTATTTTTATTTTTATTAGAACGCTGCATTCAATGACTTCAATTTTTACCATTTTCAGTCAGCACCGGGCTCGCCTGAAGGAAAGCAATGACACGCGGATTCTTCTCGAAGGGGCAAGCAACCTGTTTCCATGCAATGAATTCCGTCACTTGCTTAGCCAGCTGCCAGAATTTTTCGAAATTAATATGTCCGTTTGGTAATCTGTAACAGCAATTTTATAAAAGAATTAATACCTAAATACCTTTAGAAGTCTGTTAATAGTGAACGACGAATTCATCATGTTCTGAGAATTTTCTAATGACAAATTTAAAGGGTGACTCTCGAGTTTTAAATTGTTTTGCGAAACTTCATTCTCGTGTCAACTTTGGAAATATCTATTATTCAGTGAGCACCTTCGGATATCGAGAAATTTCAAAGCTTGCAACGATTTATAGCGATTGAATTTTCTTCCCAAACCCTCGTTCCATTTATTCCATTTTTATCTGCTCTATAACCATCGAAAGTTTCAGCGGAAACAACGTTAAACACTTCGTCACTGTTTCAACACCGGTCAAGAACACTCCCACCAGAGTATCGTGAATCGATAGCAACAACAACAACGTTGAATCCTTTAACGTGTACGTTACCTTGTGTTGACGCAACGTCAGTCGCTGTGCGCGGAATAACGATCGCCTGTTATTTTGTTAAATTAATTTCAGATAATCCTGATCGCATTAGACCGTGCGAGAGACGCGCTGATATGTTGAGTTAATGGTTAGCTCCATAAATTTCAGGCACAGGACGTATCAGCCTCTGGCTTGATGCGAGCCTTAATTAATTCAACCTTGATCAGTATCGATCATGTAGCAGATTTTTTGATTGACAAATTTCGGAAGAACTTGGAAAAATATTCGTAACTTTAAAAGATTTCTGTTTTGTATTTTTTATTCAGATATACTTTGTAATTTCGATACTTATTATGGGACAATTAATTTTTCTTCTTGGAGTGGTACGAATAGATAAAGGAAAATAATAGGTATTTTCCATCGATGGAAATTTATATTTTAAGGAGAGATTATTTAACATAATAAATTTACTATTTGTTGAGAATTGAAAGTAGGATTTTAAGTGTATTATACTAATGATGACATTTCTGTATTTATTTTTCATTTAAAAATTTTAAATTTCAGAAGAAATTGGAAAAATATTTGTAACTTTTAAAGATTTTTGTTTCGTATTTTTTATTCAGATGTATTTTGTAATTTTATTACTTATTTTGGGAAAATTAATTTTTTTCTTCGAGAAGTATGAATAGATAAAGGAAAATAATAGGTATTTTCCATCGATGGAATTTTTATTTTAAGGAGAGATTATTTAATATAATAAATTTAGTATTTGTTGAAAATTGAAAGTAGAATTTCAGTGTATTATACACTAATGATGACACTTCTGTATTAATTTCTCATATAAAAGTATTAAATATCGTGACAGAAATTAAAAAATAAAAATTCGTTCATTATTTCTCTCGTGATAATGAAAGATTGATTCACTTCGTAGTATATATATAATTTTGTTTATGACTGAGAGAACGTTCCAATTATTCAACGAATCTAAGGGAGAATCCTTTGGTGTATCTATCCTTATTGTAAGAAGTTAATATTGAAACTGAATATTTTAGCCGGCGAAAGGAAAGTTCATGCGAAGGGAGGCTTTTGATGGTTCCTCATTTTGTAATTCCAAGAAGTGGGTTCAAAGTGGTCAGTTCGCGGAGAAGTCTCAAAAAGTTTCGGAGTAGTCTCTTCAAGTTTTATGTACTCTTCGAAAGCAATGTGATTTTACGTGCAAACAATCTCGAAACTTGTTAAGATCTTTCTCATGGAAAAGAAGAAGCAAGACAGAAAGCTCAAGACTTGCTCAAGGTAAATTATAGCTAGAAACTAATGGGTGGAATGCAAGACTCCTTTTAATCTAAAATATTCTACGAACATTTTACAACGTGTAACTACTATTTAAAAAAATTCCAGTTTCATAACAAAGGACATAAGATATGCTCAATAGACAGACATTTTTCCCCTCTTTCTCAAAACGGAAGAGAAAAAAGAAATGAAATAAAATAAAAAGGGGAAGAACTCATCAGCCATTCGCATTCTGCTTCTCTTCACCGGAATAAAAAGGTAAAAAAGGTATTCATTCTCCACAGCAAGATTTTCTCCGTTACGATCGATAAGAACGATACACAACGAGGCTCGGAGAACGCCAGGGGTGTACGTATGCGCGAAAGCGCCTGGTAAAATTACGAGTCGAAGTTGGGCAATTTATCGTGGGTCGGAAGCGTGCGAATTCGCGTGGCAGCGACGCCCGCTTCCGGCTGCGCGACGTCCGCGTTACGTTCACGTAACAGACATTTACATACGCGCAGCCATTCGTCTTCGCTGGCTGGATGCCTCGATCGGTCAATATCCATCTCCCGTTTACCCCGAGAAACCTATCTTTCTACGCCGCTCCTCCGCCCTTTCCCGTTCCTTCCATCGCATCCGGATCGAAATTCCATTACAGATTCGGTTCACGGTCGACAAGGAAGGATAATTGCAGGGTAGAGGGTTGCAGGCTCTTTTCCCTTATTAAACCCCGACGTATTGGGACGTGCCGTGACGGCTTCCTAGGGAAATTGATACTTTAACGCGGCCCGGTTTGACCGGGAACGCTCGAGTTAGGGGAGCACGCGTTAAGGCTGAGGACACGGATGGTGTTCGTAATGGGAAGGTGACTTTGCGGATATGTCCCGGATCGAGTATCCGGTGAGGGTTTCGTATTGGGGTAGAGATTTTTATTCTGGTGCTGTAAGAGATGGAAGGGGTGAATTGCTGGGTTGAATTGAGATGGAGACGTTGCCGATGTTTATGTATTAGGCTTGAGGGTGCAGAGTTTATGTCTAATATTCAGTTTGCTGAAAATATTCTTCTTTCTTGGAATCACGATTTCAACTGAAGAAAAAGAATTAGACAAGATCCTCATTTTGGTGCCGGTAAGGGATGGATTGGTGGGTTGTTGAGATTGTGACGAAGGGGATGTTTATGTATTAGGATTGAGGGTGGAGGGTTATTGTTTATGTCTAATATTCAGTTTGCTGAAAATATTCTTCTTTCTAGGAATCAGCATTTGCACTGAAGAAAAAGAATTAGACAAGATCCTCATTTTGGTGCCGGTAAGGGATGGATTGGTGGCTTGTTGAGATTGTGACGAAGGGGATGTTTATGTATTAGGATTGAGGGTGGAGGGTTATTGTTTATGTCTAATATTCAGTTTATTGAAAATATTCTTCTTTCTTGGAATCACAATTTGAATTGAAGAAAAAGAATTAGACAAAATTTTTGTCTTGCTGGCTGTAAGGGGTGGATTGGTGGGTTGTTGAGATTGTGACGAAGGGGATGTTTATGTATTAGGGTTGAGGGTGGAGGATTATTGTTTATGTCTAATATTCAGTTTGCTGAAAATATTCTTCTTTCTAGGAATCAGCATTTGAACTGAAGAAAAAGAATTGATCAAGATCCTCATTTTGGTGGTTGTAAGGGATGGACTGGTGGGTTGTTGAGATTGTGATGATAGTAATTTTTATGTATTAGATTTGAGAATGAAAGGTTTTTATTTATGTCTAATATTCAGTCTATTGAAAATATTCTTCCTTCTTGGAATCACAATTTGAATTGAAGAAAAAGAACTAGAAAAGATTTTTATCTCGCTAGTTGTAAGGGGTGGGGTTTTGAGATGTTGGGTTAAAGAAATTGTAAAGAAAGTAATTTCCATTTATATTAAGAGTTTCATGGATACATTTTATATATTATTGGCAGTATTGAATTTTGAGTTATAGAGAAAAAGAATCAAACAATCGTTTAAATTAATAATTTATTGATTAATAAGTAGCTTATTTCGATTCCAGATTTAAAAATTCTTCAAAATTAATAACCTCATTACGTTATTGACTTTTCTAAGGAAATAAAAGTCTCGCACACGTTCTGTCGAAGCCATTACGATACAGCCTGTATTTCCAGCAGCCAATATCAGATACTGTTCGCGATCCACATATTATGCGAATGGGCCAAAGCACATAACGCGCGGACATTTGTCTGCAGTCCGCGCGCGTCTTCGAGCGATTTGTACTCGCTTCGTCTTTGCTCGAGCAATTTTAACGTTCCCGAGCTGCATAGACATAACCTCTGCCCAAACTCGCGTTTTCCACCGTTTCTGGGATAATATACGCCGTTATGAGTTTAATACACACGCGTTACAAGGCCGCTGCGTGTGTACGTGTGCGTACACCTCTGGTCAAAAGTTAGGGATCATCCGGTTCAACTGTTCCGCAAGTATGCACGAGATATCTCGAGAATTCATTTTTCGGCTGAGAACCTCATTTTGGACGAGGTATTAGCTAACCGAGAATATTTCTCTGCGACTCTTGGGATAGAGAAAAGAGTGGAAAATGTAGGGAA